AAAATTACCTCTGTAGTATAGGTATTGGGGTATACATCTAGCTCCAGTGGAAGTGAGCTAGAATCACCATTACCTATAAAAATTTATATCATATGAAGAAGCATTGATAGGATTCAGGTGGTGGTGAGCTAGAGCCCTTTTCATTAAATTTAGCTTAGTCTCATGACGATTATTTGTGTGTGTAGCGGCCATAAAATTTCCAAGTCCCGTGATGGGATTCGAACCACGGAGCTTCTGATCAGAGGTCGAATGCCTTGTCCACATGACCAAAGTGGTTAACCCCGTCAGCAAGCTGACAAGGTAAGGATGTCATCTGTATGATGACTCCACGCCCTGCTACATGTGCATCGTGGTTTTTGCATAAAAAATTACCTGTTATATAGGTATTGGGGTATAAATCTAGCTCCAGTGGAAGTGAGCTAGAATCACCATTGCCTATACTACTCAAAGCGTTAATCTGGGTAATCTAATCAGAGTAATCACGAGAGTGATCGCACCAATCGTGATGCGAAACACATCGTCATACACTATAGCGTTGCTCGGATAGTTCATCATGTTGATACAAACAATGGCGGGTGTGGCTTCAAGAAAACAAGGAATGGGAGGGCAGAGCTTGACGTCACACGCATGCCAATTCATTGGTAATTTAATTGCACAGGCACATGAGAGGGGTGCAAATGACCCGTTAACCCCCTGGGTGCCACAGGGACATATATGTCCCTCCTCTACAACCCTCACTTTGAAGTCGAATAAAATTAAAAATACATCACTCACACAAATACACTTCACAGTTTTGACTAAGGTGGGGAATTCCCTGTTCTGTGATATCATCCACTGGCATTTTTGGCCAAGCAAAAGTACTGAAAATGACCTCTGAAAATTAGGTACATCGTAAATGTCGCCCATTTTTACACATTACTAAACCACCACTCACAGCGTTATTTACAGCATGTTTTGAAATCTAAATTTCTGATATTTACTCGGAGAAATGAATTTAAAAAATACCATATTAGTGATCACGGGTATCTGTCTTTTATGAAATCACCCTATAACCGTTTTGAATGTTTTGAAAAATTGGCAAACACCAACGCCGAAATGAACTTTCCGCCATATTGGATAGTGTTTACAAAATCACGATTGAGGAACACCGGTTATGAGACACCTGTAACATCACGTATATTTCAAACTTAACTGCGATACACACATCCTTGAATTCCTCGTACATTTTAGAATCAAATGACGAATAGTCTTTGTCACCAATACAAAGTGGCTAGATGAAATCAAGCAAAATAAATTAGATGTGAAAACGAACGCTGAGTGCTCGAAAAACTGCACTTGTTTGAAATGTAAACAAACCAAAATACAGATTTTACACAGTGTAGCATTTTCTCCTATTTTGAGCTATCCATTTGTCTATTCGTTCAAGGTATTGGCTCAACATTTTCAGAATATGCATGGGAAGAGAATCGTAGGAAGAACTAGGGAATATAAAATAGATACATTGCAATGATTTGATATTTACAACAGAAATTGTCAAAGTTACCGTCCTGTGTGACGCCATGACTGACGCAAAATTACGCACAACAACAGTATTTATCGGAATTTCTGACTATTTCCGTTGGTTTCAATAAAAATTATAACAACAAATAACAGTACATAGATTGTCAGAATGTTTCTGATTACTTACATGTCACATTTATGTATATACGATCCCTGAATCAACGAAAGTCCCCTCGTAAAATCCCGCATACTGTTGACAGTTAACACGCCATTTTGTAAAAGTCGATCACAGGAAGTGATGTCATACATCAACATTCATGTACATATTTGGTAATTTCTTTGAGATGAAGGTCCTTGAATGAGAGTGCACACAATCATTGTATTGTCTTAGTGACTGATTTACAACACCCATTTACATATTCAAGACATTATTTACTTGGTGAAAGCAGTCATTTTATGTTGTGTCGAAAAAGCGTCAAATTCCGTTTTACACATCGAGATTTTCCATACCATGAACAAAAATTAGGGGAGATATATATTAATCAAAATACCAGTGTCGTCTTTCTCCGACATTATCAAAGACATAAAACCAGCCATGACGTCAAATAGAATGGTGTTATGATTTTGGTATTTCATTACATTTGAAATGTATTTTTTTAAAAGGGTTTAATATTTGCAGTTAATTTTACACCATCAAATAGGGTTATCGAGTCACACCTTAAAGCTTGATTCGTAATTTCAAAAATCTAAACGATAAAATTTGTCATTTGTTACAAGTTATTAATGTGCACAGTTTGGTACAAAATTGAATGTATTGTCTAGGACTTTGAATTCAGATTAGGGATATTCTTGGGTGAGCCACCCCCACACATATGTTTATTGTATGTCAGTATTAAGTAATTAACAGCACAGCAGTATTCAGCATTTCAGAGTTTTGATGTCGGGATTAAGGATTTTTTTTCTTGGGCATCGCACCCACAATGTCTGGGCAAGCTCCGCCAAAGACACAGGAAGAGCACCCATTGTACTTAAAATAGCAATAGTACCCACAAGTACCGTTTGAGTCGCGCGGTAAAGTTAGACTCCTGGTTTCAAATTTCTTTATGCGAAATATTTGCTGAGATGTTTAATTTGTGCTTTTTATGACATTACTCATTATCATTATTCGATGCTGAGTCGCACCGCCAAGCCAGACTCCTGAATTCAAAGAAGCTTCAGTGATATATTTATTGAATCTGTGCAAAGCGGTAATTACCTTGTAGTGAAATTGCACATTACAAAGATCACTTGGTTAGTTTTCAAACTGGCACTAAATCAAATTGGCTAGATGATCACTTTCATACTGTCATTGCATAGATATATTTGTTGCATAAGGATTTCATGTAACTGATTTTGTTCACATTTGCATGGTTGTTTCCGTTGGTGAAAAAGTTCACACATATCAATTTGGACTCTTGTAAGCTTGGGGTCCAAGCCTCACGTAACGGAGGAAAGTTGTCATAGCAACTGATTTACAACACCCATTGTCTGAAGAATATTTAATTGCAAAGGTTTATTACCCTGGAGCCATGACATATATATGCATTGAAACACTAAATTGCTGTTATTTATAAGATGCAAATCCTAATTGTTAATCACCCTTTTTGTGTACATCGTCCGTCTCCCATCCTGAACGAGATGTGCAAGTATGTCACTGATGAATTACTGCTTACATTTATATTTATTATTTACTAAATGTCAGGTGACCTTGGCTTTATAAGCCTTGGTCCAGAGAGATTAAAAAAAAAAAAGACAGGTCTTACCCTTAGCCTAGCTAGGGTTAGCCTGGGTGCTCCGGGGAACCTAGACAACAACCACTACCACTATGTGCTGACCTGGCACATAGTGTCTTTTGTATGTATGTATCTACATGTATAAAGTAAAACTGTATATACCGCAAGCCATCGTCTCCAAGTTGTCACTTTCTACTGAGAACCATACATCGGCCCCTTGCATATATGAGTATGCAAATTATTCATTAATCAACGTCAGACCAACACACGATGTTAGTATCATGCTGTTTACAGTTTCAGTTATGATGTAGATTTTGCATATCTTTTATACATTTTTTCATACAATTAATTTCACTTGGATATTTGTCAATGTTCAAAATGATATCATATGTAAATATAGGCCACAACATGTATGAATGAACCTTTGATAATCTCCTGTTTGTTTGAACATTGTTTACATAACAATTGATAGGTTTTTAGTGTCGAATACGATATTTCTTTCCTTTGGACAAGTGTTACAAGATGAAGTGTAAATGTAACTGCAGCATGTACATATTTCTTGGGATGTGTACTAGTCAATATTATAAGTTCATATAACCAAGGTCCATGAACAGCCATTTCATTTTATTTTATAACTAAAACTGAATATATATTACTTTAACAAAATGGATAATATGTTTCAAATATATGTCAAGAATTGTCTTGGTCTTGGAATTGTTTTTTATGTCGTTTGATACACAGAACAGTGATATCTAACGATTCGCCAGGTGCTCGTTAGTCACAAACAATTTACGAATTATTCCTCTTGTTTTGTATTATATAATCAATGGGTTCATTCTTTTTTCAACATTGTGATCACAGGATATTAAACTGTTTACTTTATTTCTCCAGGAATTGTAAAATGTATAAAAATAAATTCCATGCCAGGTACCCCATTGGTTCAACCATATCGGATTATCCTGATAATACTATACCAATAGAGCTTTCTTCGCATCTTTTATTGTGTGCTTCTGAGACGAGATGAATAATAACATAGTAATGAAAAAATATATGTCCAATAGTGAATATAATTTTGGTTGTTTGGAAATATTCTTTTGGGTATTTCATTACGTACATTGATGCCAAACAGCTGCGTGTCTTGTCCAATAAGATACACGATAAACTATCTAATTGTTTACATATTCAAGACATTATTTACTTGGTGAAAGCAGTCATTTAATGTTGTGTCGAAAAAGCGTCAAATTCCGTTTTACACATCAAGATTTTCCATACCATGAACAAAAATTAGGGGAGATATATATTAATCAAAATACCAGTGTCGTCTTTCTCCGACGTTATCAAAGACATAAAACCAGCCATGACATCAAATAGAATGGTGTTATGTTTTTGGTATTTCATTACATTTGATGATAAGACTAGTGCTCCATAATAATGATGCAACATTAGTCAAATTACACTTACACATTCAGGAGAATGTTGGAATCTAAGGACTAAGTTATAGGTTAGATATGGCCGTCCATTTCTCTATTGCCTGTGTATTACGGCATCTATTACATGTGATAGCTCTCGTGTTCCAGTGGTAGAGCGTCGGCAAATTAATTAGGCTAACCCATTAATTAACCAACCCCCACGTTGCTAATTGGATCTGATAAAGTGCGCCCGGTAAAGTGCATTACTCCCTCTGTTGGGACTCTGTTTCTTATAACTACAGTAGTGTGTGGAACTTACGCTCTTTGACCGTGCACTTAATGTGGCTGCAATTAACTGCCGTAGACCCGGCGGAATGTCATGTTTCGGAGATCGTGTCTGGTTGCCTCCGAGGAGCCCTTCCGATAGAAACTTCGGAAAGGATGCCAGCGTTTTCTCAACTATGTCACTCATGTGAACTGAATTTCGACAATAACCTGTCCATGTCAGTGGATATCGTGCAATCACACGCCGCCTCAATCCGACTTCAGCAATATCGTGTTCACCTTGTTCTGACACTTATTGACTCCATCTTTAATATTTTTAAAGGGAGGTAACTATGAAGTTAGCCCATGTAGGAATGTCGGTAATATTTTGTGTGAGGACGTATTTGTCTCATGCGCTATTTGCACGAGACGTTTTTGATTTGTTTCTAGCCGAAAGCTACCTCAGAACCAAATTATTCGTAACACGACGCGCATGTTAATTTGTAATGTCAACCGAAACATTTTGCTATTTTTACGAATGTACTAATGCACAATTCAATTCCCCATGTTTAAGACTATTGTTTTTGTTTTCTTCTTCATATCTATGTTGTTAGTTTAAAATTATACTGTTGTATCTATCTGCTTATCGTTTCATTGAGCTCCTTTTAAGATTTTTACTGTTTGGAAGCTATTATAAATATGAGGTGAGAAAACACCGAACTTGTTGGTGAGGTTTTTATGTAATGTTCTCCTTGTCACCCCCCAGTTGTAGCATCAATACACTAGTACTTGTAGGCTGTACAATGTACACATAATTATTATGTCTCTTTCATTTACTTAATATATACATATGAAAATTATTTTAGCACCCCTGTTTTTTGGACTAGTTATGTCTCAGAACATACAGTATCCCTCGCGCCCAGTGTGAAATATGATGGAAAAATAAATGCCATCTGGAAAATGAGGCTCTGGGCCAACGAAAACAAAGAACAATTAACCCAGTTTCGACAGTACTGTAATTGAGTCTAAATGGGAACCACAGTGGGAAACACAATAACTATGGATGTGGAAAGTTGTATAATCGGGTATCAGATGACCATTGTTGCGAGTGTCGCTATCGACGCGAGTCCGATTTCAATCTATTGGAACATGTTTGGGACATTCTTGTAGTAGATCTTCTTCTTGCAAAACCCTAAACAATCTGATGACGATCGACGGCATGCATCAAGCAAAACGACCAAATCCCATTTGTCGACACATGCGACAAGCAATTTTTGCTGCAGGAACACTTCAACCCCGGATTACCGCGTGTCGTATAGGTTACTACAAGGACGCCTAACCTGTCGTCCAACGTGTCTTAAACGTCGTCTAACGTGCCCTCTAACGTGTCTTAACGTCGTCTAACGTGCCCTCTAACGTGTCTTAAACGTCGTCTAACGTGCCCTCTAACGTGTCTTCTAACGTGTCTTAACGTCTTCTAACGTGCCCTCTAACGTGTCTTAAACGTCGTCTAACGTCTCGTCTAACGTCTCTTAAACGTCGTCTGACGTGCCCTCTAACGTGTCTTCTAACGTGTCTTAAACGTCGTCTAACGTGTCTTAAACGTCGTCTAACGTGCCCTCTAACGTGTCTTAACGTCGTCTAACGTGCCCTCTAACGTGTCTTAAACGTCGTCTAACGTGCCCTCTAACGTGTCTTCTAACGTGTCTTAACGTCTTCTAACGTGCCCTCTAACGTGTCTTAAACGTCGTCTAACGTGTCGTCTAACGTCTCTTAAACGTCGTCTGACGTGCCCTCTAACGTGTCTTCTAACGTGTCTTAAACGTCGTCAAACGTGTCGTCTAACGTGTCTTAAACGTCGTCTGACGTGCCCTCTAACGTGTCTTAAACGTCGTATAACGTGTCTTCTAACGTGTCTTAAACGTAGTCTAACGTGTCTTCTAACGTGTCTTAAACGTGTCTAACGCGTCTTCTAACGTGTCTTAAACGTAGTCTAACGTGTCTTCTAACGTGTCTTAAACGTCGTCTAACGTGTCTTCTAATGTCTTTCACACGTCTAACGTGTCTTCTAATGTCTTCTAATATGGCATTGGTTGACAACAACATGGTAGTGATGACATTGGTTAACAACAACATGGTAGAGATGACATTGGTTCACAACAACACCGTGGAGATGACATTGGTTGACAACAACATGGTAAAGATGACATTGGTTGACAATTACACGGTAGAGGTGACATTGGTTGACAACAATATGGTAGAGAAGGCATTGGTTGACAACAACACGGTAGAGATGACATTGGTTCACAACAACACAGTAGAGATGACATTGGTTGACAACAACACAGTAGAAATGACATTGGTTGACAACAACATGGTAGAGATGACATTGGTTGACAACAACATGGTAGTGATGACATTGGTTAACAACAACATGGTAGAGATGACATTGGTTCACAACAACACCGTGGAGATGACATTGGTTGACAACAACACGGTAAAGATGACATTGGTTGACAATTACACGGTAGAGGTGACATTGGTTGACAACAATATGGTAGAGATGGCATTGGTTGACAACAACACGGTAGAGATGACATTGGTTCACAACAACACAGTAGAGATGACATTGGTTGACAACAACACAGTAGAAATGACATTGGTTGACAACAACATGGTAGAGATGACATTGGTTGACAACAACACAGTAGAGATGACATTGGTTCACAACAACACAGTAGAGATGACATTGGTTGACAACAACACAGTAGAGATGACATTGGTTCACAACAACACAGTAGAGATGACATTGGTTCACAACAACACAGTAGAGATGACATTGGTTCACAACAACACAGTAGAAATGACATTGGTTGACAACAACACAGTAGAGGTGACATTGGTTGACAACAACACAGCAGAGGTGACAATGGTTGACAATAACACGGTAGAGGTGACATTGGTTGACAACAACACAGTAGAGGTGACATTGGTTGACAACAACACGGTAGAGATGACATTGGTTGAAACAACACGGTAGAGAAGAAATTGGTTGACAACAACACAGTAGAGATGACATTGGTTGACAACAACACAGTAGAAATGACATTGGTTGACAACAACACAGCAGAGGTGACATTGGTTGACAACAACATGACAGAGATGACATTGGTTCACACCAACACGGTAGAGATGACATTGGTTAACAACATGACAGAGATGACATTGGTTCACACCAACACGGTAGAGATGACATTGGTTGACAACAACACAGTAGAGATGACATTGGTTAACAACAACACAGTAGAGATGACATTGGTTCACACCAACACGGTAGAGATGACATTGGTTGACAACAGCATGGTAGAGATGACATTGGTTAACAACAACATGGTAGAGATGACATTGGTTAACAATAACACGGTAGAGATGACATTGGTTGACAACAACACGGTAGAGATGACATTGGTTGACAACAACACAGTAGAGATGACATTGGTTTACAACAACATGGTAGAGATGACATTGGTTGACAACAACACAGTAGAGATGACATTGGTTAACAACAACACAGTAGAGATGACATTGGTTCACAACAACACAGTAGAGATGACATTGGTTGACAACAACACAGTATAGATGACATTGGTTAACAACACTATGGTAGAGATGACATTGGTTTACAACAACACAGTAGAGATGATATTGGTTGACAACAACACAGTAGAGATGACATTGGTTCACAACAACACAGTAGAGATGACATTGGTTGACAACAACACAGTAGAGATGACATTGGTTCACAACAACACAGTAGAGATGACATTGGTTCACAACAACACAGTAGAGATGACATTGGTTGACAACAACACAGTAGAAATGACATTGGTTGACAACAACACAGTAGAGGTGACATTGGTTGACAACAACACAGCAGAGGTGACAATGGTTGACAATAACACGGTAGAGGTGACATTGGTTGACAACAACACAGTAGAGGTGACATTGGTTGACAACAACACGGTAGAGATGACATTGGTTGACAACAACACGGTAGAGAAGAAATTGGTTGACAACAACACAGTAGAGATGACATTGGTTGACAACAACACAGTAGAAATGACATTGGTTGACAACAACACAGCAGAGGTGACATTGGTTGACAACAACATGACAGAGATGACATTGGTTCACACCAACACGGTAGAGATGACATTGGTTAACAACAACATGACAGAGATGACATTGGTTCACACCAACACGGTAGAGATGACATTGGTTGACAACAACACAGTAGAGATGACATTGGTTAACAACAACACAGTAGAGATGACATTGGTTCACAACAACACAGTAGAGATGACATTGGTTGACAACAACACAGTAGAGATGACATTGGTTAACAACAACACAGTAGAGATAACATTGGTTTAAAACAACATGGTAGAGATGACATTGGTTTACAACAACATGGTAGAGATGACATTGGGTGACAACAACATGGTAGAGATGACATTGGTTGACAACAACACGGTAGAGATGACATTGGTTGACAACAACACAGTATAGATGACATTGGTTGACAACAACACGGTAGAGATGACATTGGTTCACAACAACATGGTAGAGATGACATTGGTTAACAACAACACAGTAGAGATGACATTGGTTGACAACAACACAGTAGAGATGACATTGGTTGACAACAACACAGTATAGATGACATTGGTTGACAACAACACAGTAGAGATGACATTGGTTGACAACAACACAGTAGAGATGACATTGGTTGACAACAACACAGTAGAGATGACATTGGTTGACAACAACACAGTAGAGATGACATTGGTTAACAACAACACAGTAGAGATGACATTGGTTGACAACAACACGGTAGAGATGACATTGGTTTACAACAACATGGTAGAGATGACATTGGTTGACAACAACACAGTATAGATGACATTGGTTGACAACAACACAGTAGAGATGACATTGGTTTACAACAACATGGTAGAGATGATATTGGTTGACAACAACACAGTATAGATGACATTGGTTGACAACAACACAGTAGAGATGACATTGGTTCACAACAACATGGTAGAGATGACATTGGTTGACAACAACACAGTAGAGATGACATTGGTTGACAACAACACAGTAGAGATGACATTGGTTAACAACAACACAGTATAGATGACATTGGTTGACAACAACACAGTAGAGATGACATTGGTTGATAACAACATGGTAGAGTTGACATTGGTTGACAACAACACAGTAGAGATGACATTGGTTCACACCAACACGGTAGAGATGACA